GGTATTATGTTGAGCGAAATAAGTCAAACAGAGAAAGACATGTATCATATGACCTCACTGATATGAGGAATTCTTAATCGCAGGAAACAAACTGAGGGTTGCTGGAGTGGGGGGTGGGGTGGGAGGGATGGGGTGACTGGGTGATAGACACTGGGGAGGGTATGTGCTCTGGTAAGCGCTGTGAATTGTGCAAGACTGTTGAATCTCAGATCTGTACCTCTGAAACAAATAATGCAATATATGTTAAGAAAAAAAAAAAGAAGAAGAAGATAGCAGGAGGGGAAGAATGAAGGGGGGGAAATCGGAGGGGTAGACGAACCATGAGAGACGATGGACTCTGAAAAACAAACTGAGGGTTCTAGAGGGGAGGAGGGTGGGAGAATGGGTTAGCCTGGTGATGGGTATTGAGGAGGGCACATTCTGCATGGAGCACTGGGTGTTATGCACAAACAATGAATCATGGAACACTTCATCTAAAACTGATGATGTATTGTATGGGAATTAACATAAGAATTAAAAAAAAAAAAAAAGGTGATTCTCTTGCTGCTGCCCACCAGGCCAAATTTATTCATGACTCTGGTTTCTCTCATCCTGCCCCCCTCGTTTGCATGATCCTATTCTTTCTTCCCTTCTTCTTTCCTCCAACTGCTTCTTCCAATTCTACGCATCCATCAAGGGCCTCTACAAGATTTTGCTTCAGTATTTCCCACAACGTAATGAGTGTCACGAGATATGTAAACCATCGGCACTATTATTTATTTAGTGCATTTTTTTAAACCGATGCACTTTTTATTCTTAAATTTGCTTGAAAAGAAAACCATCATAAATGAAAAACCTGTTTCACTAGGCATCAACAGGAGCTATAAAATCACCGATATAAACAAAATATATTTAAATTACAGCTAGATATTGTTGCTTGCCAAAGGCACTTAGTTTGAGGCTTGCTCATTCTTGTTTAAAAAATAAATCAAGATAAGCACGTTAGATATTAACGACACATTTGCATTAGATTGTAACTTCGAAAGTTCCTCATTGAAATAACCAAATAAACTGCAAGAAGGCTGAAAAGCAAGTAACTTTCTCATTGAATGTTTCAATCTTATTTCAAGTCACCTTCCAGTACTGCCATATGGAACCTCTCATAAAATGTTATGCATCTCAGCCTTTGGAAAACAGTAAATTACCAGATCGCTCAGCCTCATTATTTCTTTTGTGAATTGCACCATTTACCTATGCCACTTATTTGGGAATTTAGAACATTTCTTACATGATATTTAATTCATTTGTATCATTTCATCTTGGCAGATACAAGAGGAATTCTCAGGATAACGCAGTCTTAGGCACACACAAGGTTTAGCCAAACCAGAAATACAAGTTGACCCTTGACCAACATGGGTGTTAGTGGTGCTGACCCCCTGCGCAGTAGAAAATCCCAGTAGAACTTTTGATTTCCCAAAAAGTTAATTACTAATAGGCCTCTGTTGACCTTACAAGTAACCTAAACAGTTAATTAACTTGCTTTGTGTGTCATATGCATCACATACTGTATCCTTACAATAAAGAAAGCTAGAGAAAAGAAAACACTATTAAGGAAATCATAAGGAAGAGAAAATACCTTCCTAGTACTATACTGTATTGAAAAAAATCTATGTATAAATGGGACCACACATTTCAAACCTGTGTTGTTCAGGGGTCAACTGTTTTATAACAGTTATAATGAGGGCCAATGCAATGTATAAGCGAATGATAAGGAAAACTTGAACTGGTCATAGGAAATTATTTTTAGGCAAATCAGCAAAGAATTATATATGGAATATACATGGGAATGGCCATATATATTCTTTCTCGTTGCCTGTTAATGATATGTTCTACAGATGACTATATACAGTTATATATGCATACATAGCTAGAAATACAATATCCTTTGTAAGATCCTTTAAATAAACCCTATTTGTCAAAGTTATTTGTTGTATTGCTGTTTAAGCTTTCTGTTTTAAAAACTAATTGAGTGAAGTCTAGCTTTGGATTAATGTGGATGAAAGTTTAGAAATTTAGAAGTTCATTGGCATTTCATAAGACTTCCATCTCTTATTACAGAATCAAACTGGACACACAGATTTTAAGTTGCCAACCACCCTGACTAAGGTTTTGGTCTTTACTAAATATCTAAGTTTGAGAATAGCTTAACAGAATGCACTACACTCATTTGCCATCTGACTTCACTCACTTTGCTATAGGTCAGAGCTTGGACTTTTCTCAAAACCTGTGCATTATGAAAGTTACAAGTAAAACTCAGGAATAATTGCAAATGTCTTCACATTTCATTAATTCACACTTAAACCATGTTCCATAGCATTCATCTTTATTAAGCTTTTATACTGACAGAACTGAGTTTAAATTGGAAGTGCCATATGAAAACATTTTATTGTCTTCAAAATAGTATCTCTTTGATTTCAGACCAAAAAAAAAAAAGGCATATATTCTAGTTTTGATTAAATATTTAAGATTTGAGCAGAATTTTGCCCTCAGAATAACAATATATGCATTAACATATAAAAGTCTGGATTTCTTAGTACACTCAATATAAGGGTTTTGAAAAAAATACTATTTTTTTAAGATTCAGCCTTAGACATAGTTATTTTTCTTTAAATGACATGTCCCTCTAAAATTATTATGCATTTCTGAAGGCCGATTAAAAAAAACTCAAATAAAGAATAGTCAGAAGGTTTTGTCTGATACGAGTTTAAAATTTTTTCACTCTTAATGAAGTCTATCAGCAAGAAAGGTTATGACCTGATATTAATAGCAAGAGGAACAAAGGGTTTTGATTTTCTTTGTATCCTAATCCTCTAGCAGCTGATAAATAGTTTAAGTGCATCTTCCAAATCCAGCATTATGCCATGTTCAAAAGTATTTTAACTAGTTATCAAAATAGAAATTAATTACATAGGTTTTCCATGCAGAGTAGTTTATTGGATAGAAAAGCTGTCCTTTTTAGGAGAAGATGGACATTAGAGTGGCCAGACCTGATTTATAGTCATTGTCCCCATCTTGAGAAAGTAGTTTCACTTTTCTCAGCTAATATTTGTAGATCTGCAGAATGGGAATGATATCTCCCTTGCAGGCATCAGCATAATATGTGGAACTGATTATAGAGTTCCCTTTAAAAATGGTAGCTGTCATTATCCAGCTAGCAATTTTAAATAAATCATTTTCTTTCCTTAAAAATTGAATTCAAGTAAGCAGAATTTGTCTTATTATTACTTTTATTTTCTATTCTCACTCATTCTTTCCACCTTTTTACTAGAGACCTGGTGGTAGGAATCACGGCTCTGAATAAAACAAATCTCTGTCCTCATGGAGTACATTCCACTGACAATAAACACAGTTAAAAAAAATTAAATAAATGTCACTGTAATAATAAAAGTACTGTTGAGCAAATGAAGCCATGTGGTAGACTAGTTTGAAGAGAGACATAAGGAGACCACTTTCGGTGAGGTGGTTGGAGAAACCTCTCTAAGTGGTGACATCTGAGCAGAGTCACGAAAGATAGAAGGAAGACAGAGTGTAGCCCGAGAGAACACCAAGACATTGGGAAGAGCAGGCAGAGAAGCCTGAGGCAGGAAGAGCCCCATGACGTTACCGACCGATCAGGATGAAATAGGGCTGAATGGTTGGGAACAAACTGAGGAGCAAGGCAGGGGCCATGTGGTGGAAAGACTTACCAGCCATAGTAAGAGGAACAGGGAGCCATTAGAGCAGCAAAGTTTAAATTTAAGTAGATTTTTCTAGGTGACTATTGCAGGGAGAGAGATGGATGCTGGATGAACAGTAGCCAATTAAATAGTGAGTATATTTGGAATATATTTTGAAGCTAGAGCTCATAGGGATGAAAAAAAAAGGAGAATCAAGAAAGGCCACTATTTTTTGGCTTGTGCAGTTGGGGGACAATGGTACCATGTGTTGAACCAAGAAAGCATGGGAAGAAGCAGATTTAAGGATACCAGTCAAGAGTTCTGTTTTAAGCATGTTAAATTTCAGATGCTGATAGACAGTCAAGTGAACACACAAAGGATGCATGGATTTTTTTTTTCTTTTTTTGAGAGAGAGAGAGTGCAGGGGCAGAGGGGCAAAGGGAGAGAGAATCTTAAGCAGCATGGAACCCAACCCGGGGCTCAATCTCACTACTCTGAGATCATGACCTGAGCCAAAACAAGAGCTGGATGCTTAACCCTAACTGAACCACTCAGGTGCACCAACAAATGGGTATTTTAAACTATCATTAATGGGTTTCTCTTTGTTTTAAAATCATTTTCTGTATTTTTCACATGACAGATTTTGTTCATGGTGCATATACGTAAAGTTGTTAAAGTGATGTTTGATTATAATTTTCTCAAGTAATTTTATTGTAGCAAGGTCATCTGAACTATATTTACTTTAAAGGAATTCCCTAAGTTTGAGAGGTATCTGTCTGAACCTTCCTGAAACTTTTTCAAGTCAAGAGATATGTCATATCTTAGTGGGAATATGACACATGGCGGTGCCACTCATGAAGCCCCTCCCAAAAGATCTGTAGTTGTCTGCAATATCCTGGTTTATTGAGGATGTAAAGTTGGACCAGATGCTCTAAACCAGGATTCAATAAACTATGGCCCACAGGCCCAGTCTAACATCCCACCTATTTTTCTAAGTAAAGTTTCTTTGGAATAGAGCCATACTTACTCTTTAGGTATTATGTGTATGGCTGCATTCACAGTACAATGGCAAAACTGAATAGTTACAAGAGAGACTTAAGACCCACAAAGCCTAAATTATTTATTATTTGGCCCTTTAAGAAAAAAATTGGCTGACCCAGCCCATACGATTTTATGATTTGAAGAAAAGTGAATTAGAAATGAAGTAGGATCTATATCCATTTACCACCCGTAACAATTGTGAAATTAGATCTTATATTCAATATTTACTTTTAGTGGTTTTCTTTTCTTTTCTTTCCTCTAAAGCTGAGAATCAGAGCTCAATCAAAACAACAGAAGCACCAGGTAAGTTAATTTTCTTCTCTCTCAGAATATTCATGAGTAAAATCCCCAAAATGAAATAAAGGAGATCAGTGTGAGAGCAGGGAAAAATAGTACAAGGGAAAACATTACATGGCAACTAAAATGTTTAGGAGAACTTGCATTAAAAAAAAATACAGACCAGAAGATAGGATGTGCCTGAACGCTCTGTGGTGAGAGTGAGTGGAACCAGCCCTGGTAAGTTCATGAAGCCTGTGGAAGTGTCCTCTGCCCAGAACCCACTGTTCCTGGTCTGTTTCTGCGGTTGGCCTGCCCTCGCCCAGAAGTATAGTGTGTCCGTGACTGTCTTCTCTGTGTTTCCCAACACAGCCTGATCCTGGCAGCCCGAGAGTTGATGTTAGAAGCCGCAGTTAACAGCCTAAAATATGATCACTCCAAGAAGTGCTTGTGTTTTGTTATCCTAAATTTTAAATTGAATAAATTGAGGGTGATGGCGTAACAGGAATTGAAAAAGATCGTTGGGCAGGGAAAGATGGTACCATTGAACGTTTCTGTTGTTTTGAAATCGTAATTACTTGGGAGACTTTTATCTTCCTACATCTTACCTCTTACTTTTATAAATGACCAATCTCTTAGATTCTCAATCTTGGTCACTTTTGGTATATATATGAATGAGAAATATGTGAAATAAACGTAGAAGATCACATAACTTAAAAAAGTCAGAAAAATAAAGCCATGAAGATTATGACCAACTCGGTTTTCACAGCAAATGTACCAAATAATCATCACAGTCTACCTTCCCCATCAGGTGTTTAAGGAACTCAAAACTGAAATGATTATGCTGTTAACTTTTAATTATTTATCTTCTATACAATATATCTCATGAATAAAAAAGTTATTTTGATATTAATCCTCTTTATTTCACCTCATCACTATATTTTTTTTCATTCTTATTTCCATTTACATAGTCTAGAAATGCACTAGAAAAAGCACTGGGAAAAACACAGCAAAACAAAACATAAAAACAATGCATCCAAGCAAACAGGACAGCTTTGCATTGGTTGATGGTTTGCACTGTTCTGGAGAAGTCCTTACCTTCTGCTTCATGGACTGGTCATCCAGGAGAAGTTACAGATGGAAGAGAATTGAGAAGTTGCCAAAATCATCAGCTCCTTAAAAGGAGGGATTGAAGCACCCTTTAAGAAATGAATTTACAAAATGCCAGCTTTAATTATAGTTGATTTTTAACTATAATAAAAAGCCCATTTACACTATTTAAATTTTGAGTTATAGAAACTAGTTCCCCTAAAACAGATAATAAACACATCATTGATTTGAACAGTGGATTAAAAAGAAGTGAGACTGATTTTATAAACTATGAGAAAGTCAGTCTTAACTTCAGGGATATATGTTATGGGTAAAGACTAAATCCAGACTCACTCAAAAAGAAAAAAAAAGTGTAATGACAAGGTATTCATTACACATCTGTTGACAATTGTAATCATTTCTTTGTTCAGTCATTTGTTTGTTATCAAAGATGTTCAAATATCAAATTTGTGAAAGTCACCCATATGATCAAGAATAGGCATCTTACTTGAAATAATTAACATTTTTTTAGGTGGAAGTTGAGGTAGAATTCTAGCCTGCAGAATTACTATTATTACTTCTTCCTTTTTATAAATATAAGCTAATATGCATTTAGCCTTTGATTAGATCATATGTCATTCTCACATTTGGCATTTTCTTTCATATTATGCATCCAGCTTTCATTTTCTTGGAAAAATTATGTTTTACCACTGACTTCAAAAACTATTATTAAGGGTATAGAAATTGATGGTTGTTTTTACATAAAACGTTTTTGGGAATTCAAAATATGTAAGGCAACTGTACATAAAGCATCAATTATAAGAAATTGTACATAGATATAATGAAGAAATATAGTCTTAGTAATAGGGAAATGATCGATCAAGGTCTGAAGACATGGCCATTCAGTCCATTCAATAGAGGAAAGGTACTATGAGGTGGATCATTGTGTTTAACAATGCCAAGCATGAAAAATTCATGCTCAATGTCTGAAGTATGTGGGAAAGTCAAACCTCACCTACCGACTGTAACATATATGGTAAGACCAGAAATTTTGTATGATACTATACTAAATACAAAGAACCGTATATTCAACCAACCACCACTAACCCAGGCATTTAATAGATAGTTCTTCTGTTCCATATATGTAACACTAGCTAAGAGTTATGAGTGATACCTGGAGCCTGCCTTCTTACCAAGAAGACTGGTCAGCATGGTAAAACAAAGAAACAAACAAACAAAAAAACTGTAAAAACTCTTGTAGCCATATAGGTCCACAATGATGTGTCATAGGCAAACTTCAAACTTCTTAACCTTAGGTTAAGATTGGAGAAAGGAGAGATTTTTTTTCTCTCCATTTAGCTGTGGTTGTGTTAGACATCAGATTTAGAAAAGCAGTTTAAGGAAGATGAGGAAAATATTCATGAAAGAAGTGACTTTGTAGCTTCCAGATTATTCTGCCTACTCATTTTTCTAGCCCTGAGTTCAGAGCTAATGAGGAAATTGAAAGAAAAAGTCATGCAGGGCTATTTATCCCCTAGAGATATATGCAGGAATCATATGGCCATCACAACAATTTTAAGCAATGATGGAATTCACTTTTCTTTAGCCTTATCATTTTTCCACAGACAAGCAGAGCTAATAATGTGTCCTTGAAAATGAAACTCTCGATTTCTTTGAAAAGAGACCTTAGATTTGAAGAAAAAGGGACGAACATGCCTCAGTGTATTGGGAAAGAAATAAACCATTTGCCTTCAATTTTCTGGAAAATACAACTATATTACTCAGGGTTCTCCAGAGAAACTATATATATATCTATGTATAAAGATTTATTGTAAGGAATTGGCTCATGCATTTTGAAAACTGAGAAGTCCCAAGATCTGCAGCCAGGAGGCTGGAAGCCTAGAGACCCAGGAGAGCAAATTGTGTAGTTCCAGTCCAAGGCCCGAGAACCAAGACAGCCAGTGGTGTACGTTCCAGACTGACAGCCAGCAGGCTCGAGACCCAGAAAGAGCCAATATTTCAGTTTGAGTCCAAATGCAAGGAAAGACCAATGTCCCAGCTCAAAGCAGTGAGGCAGGAGAGTTCGTTCTTTATTTCTTATTTCCTACTAAGGGGGATTCAGCCTGTTTATTCTATTCAGGTCTTCCATTGATTGGATGGAGCCATCTGCATTGGAGGGCAATCTTCTTTATTCAGTCTACTGATTCACTGATTAATATCATCCAAAAAATACACTCATAGACATATCTGGACTAATGCTTGGCCAAATATCTGGGAACCCCAAGGCCAAGTCAAGTTGACGCATAAAATTAATCACTGCAACCACATTCCCATAGTGATCAGCACAACTTGAGAATGGTCTCCTTGTACCCATCTTCTTTACTTTTTTAACTGTGTTTCACAACCTCAATTGTATTGTAGACATTAATTTTGATGGAAAATTAGAAGCCAGAACAGACATGACAAGTCCTACCAAACCTGCCCACTGGCCTTCGGAAAGGAGAATGCTCCAGCCGGGCATATTCATTGTGCTCAACACCCTATGTAATGCTTGAGAATTGGTTGCTGACCTCTAGGAATTTATATAACGTGAATCACCAATCCTTCTATGCAGAAGGTTACTTATCTGAGTTTTCTAACTTTGAATAACAGAATCTTGAACCAACTGTTCAGGTAGAATCCACTCAAGCTAGAAATATACCTATAGCAAAGCAATATCTAGAGGCTTATTATTTTTTTAACTTGGAAATTTTATAATGTTTTAAAGATTAGTTGAGAATAAAAGGACTCACTAATGGAAGATGTCAATATTGCTGTGATAGGGCGCCTGGGTGGCTCAGATGGTTAAGCGTCTGCCTTCAGCTCAGGTCATGATCCCAGGGTCCTGGGATCGAGTCCCGCATCGGGCTCCCTGCT